CAAACAATTAACGTCTCCGTGGGATATTTAAATAATTTGTAGCAGAGGACTTAAACCTTAGTTCCAAGTAACCCTTTTGTTGATATAACGTGTCATTACATTTTTAGTAATATACTGCTACTTAACATTCCATTGACTTGAATTTTATTTCTCATATTTCGTAATACTAGTGAACTCCAACATAAGTCCCCTACATAGCCATTGAAAGTATGAGTGCGCGTTTTATGCATAAGAATTGAAGATGGACAGATCTTCTTGTTCTACTTTAAGTGATACGACAGATGGTGTTGCCTATTGACCATCGTGTGTGTGTGAAATTTGTGGTTCATAGTCACGTATTGAGGTGTGAACTTCATTTGTTCGTGAATTATTTCAACTGTGAGTTACTCACTACTGTGTGATATCCGTGCAAACTTCTTTATAATTGTATTGTTTTGCCACCTTAGATGATCCATTTAGATGACCCACTTTATGTTGCCAGGCGACTTCATCGTACCAAAGACCACAGGAGCACTTCAGATGACAATAGTCTTACACTGATAATCAAACCGGAACCTGTTGATTCACTGGAAGCCAATGCCCAGTATAATATCGACCCGTGTTACAACAGTTCTCGAACACCTAGTTTTACAGCTACTCATGACGCTAGCCATGTGAACGTTGTAAACCAAGTGTCAGTTGCTCGTGGAAACACTCGCCTCGTTGACGCTGACTCCAGCTGTCAGTTGTCCAACAATTCAGATGGTTTGCAGTCAGTATGCACTTCCACTGTGACTGGCACAAGTACTTCTTCTGATTCAATCAGTTCGGTACATGGTAAAGATTCAAGCAACCTTTGTTCTTCCGCGGATGAAGTGGCCACTTCCAGCGTTACTTCGGTAACACCGCCTACTGCTTCATCAAGCATAGAAAATGTCTATGCAGAATCTACGTCACCTGGGAATGACTGGCTGTCTCTTTCCCTTCGATTAACGACTGGTTTGGTTGGTGATTCGCACAGTGAAAATCCTGTGATACGTGAATATGTCAATGTGATGTAGATTCTGCATAGACATTTTCTATGCTTGATGAAGCAGTAGGCGGTGTTACCGAAGTAACGCTGGAAGTGGCCACTTCATCCGCGGAAGAACAAAGGTTGCTTGAATCTTTACCATGTACCGAACTGATTGAATCAGAAGAAGTACTTGTGCCAGTCACAGTGGAAGTGCATACTGACTGCAAACCATCTGAATTGTTGGACAACTGACAGCTGGAGTCAGCGTCAACGAGGCGAGTGTTTCCACGAGCAACTGACACTTGGTTTACAACGTTCACATGGCTAGCGTCATGAGTAGCTGTAAAACTGGGTGTTCGAGAACTGTTGTAACACGGGTCGATATTATACTGGGCATTGGCTTCCAGTGAATCAACAGGTTCCGGTTTGATTATCAGTGTAAGACTATTGTCATCTAAAGTGCTCCTGTGGTCTTTGGTACGATGAAGTCGCCTGGCAACATAAAGTAAATGGATCATCTAAAGTGGCGAAACAATACAATTATAAAGAAGTTTGCACGGATATCACACAGTAGTGAGTAACTCACAGTTGAAATAATTCACGAACAAATGAAGTTCACACCTCAATACGTGACTATGAACCACAAATTTCACACACACACGATGGTCAATAGGCAACACCATCTGTCGTATCACTTAAAGTAGAACAAGAAGATCTGTCCATCTTCAATTCTTATGCATAAAACGCACACTTATACTTTCAATGGCTATGCCTCACAGTCATTAATAAGGATGGAGAGAACTGTTGAGCAGAACATATTTCCTCTGTCGATAGCCAACCAGATGTCACGTCTACGCAATGTGTAGTGGACCTAGCAGCTAGGTAAGTATTATTATTATTATTATTAGTGCCATTCAGTTTGATGCCATCGTTCCAATTAACATTGATCTCTTTCGCAATTTTGTTCTTTCATGTGTCAAATAAACAGAGCTGACGTATACTCACCTGTGTTTATTAAAAGAATATTTTTTTTGTTTTGTGTGCGTGTATCACTCTCCATAAGTTGATGTCGAACTACTCACGAAAGCGTAAAAAAATCTTTTCCATTTTTTTGTATTCCCATAGTGTTATGTAGCATTATAATTATTTTTCTTCTCACAATTGTACTGCAAATCGTCAGTAGCAGTCCCTCCGGGCTTCTAAGAGGGGGAGCCGTGTGGCGGCCTAAAAACATATCAAATTATATGTTCACCGAAAAATAAGGAATTCAACCTTGGACCTTAAACCGTGCGCAAAAGAAAAAATCAGTTGCTCTCTCTCCGGCGGCCACCTCAGCACATCTGCCGACCAACTCTGTCTCGCACTGGTTGACATATCCCCATCAAGAGCTTGGCTCCTATCTGCTTTACCCTACGCGGAGACTTCCGACGGTTGACAGCTCTAAGTTATGAGATTCAAAACAATTACATTCCCATAATTTCGTACGTCTATAATTTGTGTATTTTGTGACTATTATAGTTTTTCTTCAAATAACCTCAGTCCTTTTTGTGTATATTAACTTAAGTGAACTGCATATCTTATATATACGTATTTGTCAGTACCTGTTCTGTCCTTTTAATTGTGTGTATACTTACTTAGCTGCTAGGTCCACCACACGCTGCATGATCGTATAACCTTCATTTAAAGCTGTCCACAGAGAGTGCCGTAGCTGCATCTGTCAGTAAGGAGTTACAGCGACAGCAAACCCCCAGGGAAAAGAAGGGAGCCGCACCCGAGTCTTTGTCCTCTGGTCAGCTATCATTCTGGAATTTTCACAAGGAAGCTCATAACTACTCAATGGCAGGACACCTCTGTTTGGGTGATTATGGTCATTCGTTATTTTGTAGGCAGTAATCAAATCCCCCCTAAGCCGACGGTATCTAAGTGTGAATAGGCCTAATTTCTTTAGCCTTTCATCATATGGTTTGTTTCGGAGACCAACCACTCCTTTTGTTGCCCGTGTTTGGACTCTTTCCAAGAGCTTGGCGTCTCTTCTTAGCAGTGGTGGTGCCAGAATATTATGCACTTCAGGGTGTGGTCTGACGTGTGTATTGTACAACCTTAATAATAATAATAATTTGCTTTATTCCAAAACAGTACTTTGATACAGAATGGAATTCTCAGCATTTTACTACAATATTGCATCCAGTTAGTACATTACCAATAAATAGAATTCAACATAGATTAAGGAAACCACAGTTCATTATTACAACAATACATTGGCATGTCGGTAGCAAAGGTAAAGCTGAATAGTGTTTGAAGGTGTTAGAAAAGTGTTAGAAAAGCTGTCTTATTAAACTGGCGTAAGCGAGAGAAAGAAACAAAGCAGCACATAACGGAAAAAGAAGAGAGAGAGAAAAGGAAAAGAAAGAAAGAAAATGTTGTACCTATTGATGATGTGAGTTGGAAAGACGGGTTCCAGTTGTACTACTGACTATTTAATGAATTATAGGTGTCACGCCTAATGCCTAACCTTTGAAGGAGCTCAGGAGTGAGTGTGTAAAGTGTATGACCGCATATTCCCTCGCTACATCCCCCGTGTAATTTACGCTTGTGTCCATTTTCTCCGTTACAACTAGACCTAAGTCTCACTTTGACGTTGTACAGGACAAGCTTTCATTGCACACGGTTTAACTTGCATTCTGCGTCCTACAGGTGCGTAACTTCACTACTTTGCACTCTTTCAGGTTGGAAGTCATGCCACTAACCACCGCCCAGTCTTCCAGAAGGTTTAGGCCTGCCTGCAGTCTATCTGAGTCCTCCGGACACTTTATCGCTCTCCATATCTTTACGTCATCAGCGTATAGAAGAGTCAGGCAGCTTAAACGGTATGGTAGATCATTGATAAAAATCGAAAACATCAGTGGTCCTAGGATAGAACCCTGTGACGTCACTGATGACGAGCTGTGGCAAGATGATCGAACTCGATTGACCTTAGTGCAAAATTGCCTTTCAGCTAGGTAGTCCTTTAACCATGACAGAAGTGGCTTACCTATACCTGTCTGACTTATTTTGTGTAGGAGAAGGTCATGATGAACTGTGTCAAATGCCTTCTTGAAGACTAAGAAGACCACATGGATCGGAATATTCACGTCCCACCAAAAGGTTCGAAGCTGATAGCAGGTTTGTTACACAGGATCTGCCGTTCATTAAACCATGTTGCGCTTCATATAGTCCAGTATTGCAATCAAAGTGCTCCCTGATGTGATGATCAGTAATATTTTCCATTACCACTGATACCACTGGGAGTAGCGTACCAGTCTATAACTGGGAGCATTTTTCCTGTTTGAAAATCGGAGAAATGATGGCTCTTTTCCACTCACTGAGCAGTTTCCCCGAATCCATGGAGTGTTGGAACAAGTCGCATATGGGCCCACAGAGAGCTTCGGTGCACTAATTAAAAACAGATGGCCTGATGTCATCACAACCTGGGGACTTCACAGGTGTGAGTCGCTGTAGCTTCCCTAGCACTATTGCCGGGTTATTTGGGGAGTAGCCACTAGGTCCTCCTCCTCTGAAATGGTAGTGCCACCATTTTGGTCCTTACCGGTTTGACTGTTTGGCGAAGGCCAAACTGAATGTTTCCGCCATCTCCAGACTAGTGAGGTATTGATCGTCCGGACCTACGAAGGCAACTGCACCCTGGTTGGTTGGTTTTCTCTCCGACATTAATCGGTACCGGCTTCTGGGGTTCGCCAAGTTGTTTTTGGCAAGGCTGGTCTGAAATGGCTTCCTGCCACTCCTGATTCTCACGTTGCACTGTATTCTAAGTTCCAGGTATGCGTCGTGGTCGGTCTGACTCTTGGATATTCGCCATGTAGACCAAGCCTTCCGCTTTGCTTGCAGAATACGTTGCGTACCTCTCTTCAGCCACGATGACTTTCTTTTGGGCTGTGTTGTGACTAGGGGGATGGTACCCTAGATTGCTATGTGAATGATCTCTTTTACCATTTCCACCGATAACTCATGCCATTCGATGGGTCATTCTGTATCGGACAAAAACCTCCGCATTTCAGCATAGTCCGCAGCTGACAGTGGGTCTCACAACCTCAGTTTGTTGTGGGGTAGTTGACGTTACGTTGTCTGCTGGTAGAGAACATGATATTGGGGATAGTTGGCCGATTCCGATAGGACCTCCCCGTTGTAGGTTTTTTCCGTGGATTCAGGTAGGACACTTTGGTGACACAGACTGTTATTCTGGGGACTGCATAGCCCTAGTGCCACTGAGTCTTGGGGACGTATTAAAGCCTCAGTTTGCTGCCTTCCGATGGTTTGGGGTCTGCTTTCGCTGCATCGGATATGTCCTCCCATTTTCGCCTTGGTCTCATACCTCCGTTGAAGTGCTATTGCCAACTGCTCTGGGGAGTTGAATGTGACACTTAGCAGCTTTGGAGAGCTAATCAGTGTGAGATAAGCGAATCGAGGTAGTCGGAAAATGGAGATTGCTCCAGAAGCACCAAGGGCCATCTGAGATGACAACCATCTCCATTGCTGTACGTCATGCATGTGTTTTTCACAAGCGGCGCCTGTTTCCAGCTCCGGAACATCGTGTACGACCATAGAGGTGAAAGGCATCAGTTCTGGCGACTCCTTCGCCATTTGTGTGTTAGCCCGTGGTCTGTCATGTCTCACCCTTATACTAGAACTTCTGTCGATGGCTAGTACCTGAGCCATTTATATATATGCATTATTTTGGCAGCTCGAGAATTAAACATGAGTTTGGATACTGAAAGTATAAAAAAAATTGACTTTATAAAAAAATTTAAAAAAAAACAAACTAAAACAATAATGATTGTACAGTTTTAGCTTGTAAAAAAATAATGCTTTCGCTCCTAACATCTACAAGCCTGCTCAGTTTCTTGTCAAGATGCTATCCCATGGGCCATACACAAGTTCGCCAGACATCCTACAGGTCACCATATTCAACAGGTTCTAATCCTTCTAGCCATTTCTCTCTAAAATGTCACTTATATACTTCACGATAATCCTTCTACCTAATTACTATTATACTCTATTTTATCTCAACTTCCTAGGCCTTTAGTAAAGCTGAAATTTACTCTTTTGTTTTTCTTTTTTCTCATTCACACTCTTCTCTCGCATAAAGTTCGGTTGCTCTGATGGTAAAAAAAACATAACAACAGCACTCATGTTTGAGAATAACTTTATTTTCATAGAAAACGTCATAGTTTTCTACGGTAAGACCAATATGGTTAGCATCATACATTGCAAATGTGCACTATCATATCAAGTACTGTATAGCTTATTCTTGTATTTTTCTTGTAAATATACTTCCAATAATGTATTATTCATGATTGCATTTTATACCACTTTGTAGCTGTGCAGGATTTTCTCCTCTTCCTGAAATAGCGTTCAAGCACGTGGTTGTCGCTCAACTTCGATGGAAGCCTTCGTGGAAGATTTACAAATTAACAATTATAAGAATCTGTTCCGATTGCTTGTCCTATATAATTCAACAACTTGAACTTTTAAAAAAAGTGATAATCTTACTATCCCTTGTAAACGTTGTACTTACCTGAATATTGGTTGGCTATCGTATGCCTACAACTACGGGTTGAAAACGAAACGAAGTCGATTTTCCTGCGCAACCTGGAGGACTACTGTTTAATTCAATACTGATACGACATGGGTCAGACAATGAGTGTATTTATATATATACATATATTTAGCTGTTCAAACATTATTAACTTGTAGACAATCTACTATTTGTCATTATATCATGCTTGATCGTGCCTGTAAAAATGGCATGCATTTTCATGTAAATTTATGTTTATATGAAAATATAAATTAATATTATTATTCTTTCGGCCTCTTCGGCAGAGTCCAGTGTAACCCTTGAAGGAGTGGCTTACCCTGAGGCGTTCAGACCTAATTTATTGCACAAGTTGGACCACTGTACCTGGTCAAACAGGGCCCGTTGTTCAAGCAAGCTATCCTTGCTCACAGGTACATTAAAAATGATAAGAGAATTAGACCGACTAACTCCAGACTTAGGTTTGGCCTTTGGCTGCTTGTATTCCTTTGCAGGGTCAGTAACTTTATGCTCCATCAGGTTTTGACCAGCTTTGCTGTGTTGCCAAGCTTGCTAGTGGATGCAAGTGGTGCTTTGGCCATTCCATCTTTTCCTGATGTTGTGGGCGCAGCCTTGGGACTCTTCACTTTGTGAAGATTGGCATTTCCAGTCGGCTGGACTGGAGTGTCCTTCTTACTGTCTGTAGCAAGTTTTGGTAGTGTGGTGTTAGCAGGTGGGGAGCTGCATGAGACTGTGTTGAGACACAAAAGTGGAATGCTGTTTCTGCTATCCTCAGCCAAGCTGTGTGAGACTGTGCCAGGGTGGCAAAGTGGGCAGATTTACCAAAACTATGTGCATGGGTTATTTGGCACCCCTTTGTCAACGTTTGCGAAAATATTATTCAAATGCTGAGTCAGTTTTATAAACGATGAGACTACATGCCTGACATTCGTCTCCCTTCCTTGATGACGCTTTCTAGTTTCTGGTCGTTTCTTTTTTTTGCTGTGTTCCACGCACTGGCTTTCAGTGGATGCAAGTGTAGTATCATGTCCACCTGGTATTGCCTGTACCGTTTCAGTGCTAGACTGTGACAATGCAGGCGTAGTATCAGAACAGGCGAGACCTACACGAGTCTTTAGGATCGGTATGCGAGACGGGGTTGATGTCCCTGGGTTTTGCCTTCTCTGGCTGAAACCCTTGCGACTACAGAGAATGGTGTTTTAGTGTCTTTTCTAAGGCTACTTTCGACAGCCATATTGACAGACTTATGCTATATAAGAATAATAGTGCAACAGTATGTACCCACAATAACAAGAATAAGACTGATTAAGTACGAGATAAGGAAAAGAGTGAGGATAAAAGTTATGGCGTTTCAAATTTACCGCGCTTCAGGTTTTCTCGTCTCCACAGGATCCTTTAACCAACAGAGCATGTTCCTAATTGAGTTCACGCCACTTTTATTCCTGCCTTGTTAAGAATTCTCCGGCGTAAGGTTTCCGAGGTTCCTTCCTTGTATGGAATTACTGCTGATGATTTAGATTCCTTATTGTTGGTGTTGTCATTATTCTGTGCATACTTGATATGCATTATTATTATTATCACTATCACTACTATCATTATTTATTTTATTTTTACATTTCCTTACATATTTCTTGACTAATTTATAAGGGTAATTATTAAGTTTCAAAGTTTCTCTTATATGTATCACTCCCTGTTTTAGATTCTCCTTAGTACTACTTAGTTTTTGTGCTCTGTCACTTAAACATTTCACCAATCCTACTTTTACTGATATAGGATGAGATGATCGGAAGTCTAAATATCTGTTTGAATGTGTGGGTTTCCTGTAAACACTAGTGTTTAACTTCCCATCTTCTTTCCTTTTTACGTTGCAATCTAGCATTGGGAGCTCCCCTTCCTGATCTAATGTTTGCAGGAAACCCACACATTCAAACAGATATTTAGACTTCCAATCATCCCATCCTATGTCAGTAAAAATACGATTGGTGAAATGTTCAAATGACAGAGCACAAAAACTAGGTAGTACCAAGGAAAATCTAAAACAGGAACTGATACACATAAAGGAAGTCTTGAAACTTAATAATTTCCCGGATAAATTAGTCAGGAGATATGTAAGGAAATGTAAAAATGAAATAAATAATGATAGTAGCGATAGTGATAATAACAATAATAATAATATTAATGACGACACCAACAATAAGTAATCTAAATCATCAGTAGTAATTCCATACAAGGTAGAAACCTCGGAAGCCTTACGCAGAATTCTTAACAAGGCAGGAATTAAAGTAGCTGGCATTCAAACCAACCACAAACTCAATTAGAAACAAGCTTTGTCGGTTGAAGGATCAATCCTGTGGAGCCTTTAAAACAAAGCAATTTAGTTTATCTAATACACTGTAATGATTGCCAGATCAAATATATGGGTCAAACTAGTAGGACAGGGACAGTCAGACTAGCCGAACATAAAATCCTGGCAAAATCTAGATTGGTTGACCCGAATAAGATACGAAATCTAGAGAATAGTTCAGCTATACCACTCACTACATGCAGTTACACACAACCATACAATAGGATGGATGGGATAGGATGACAGTTTTAAAATCTAATGTCACAGGGTATAGGGAGAGGTTGATAACAGAAGCCTTGTTTATCGAATCAACTGCAAATACATGTAGTAGGAATGATTCATCACCTTTCCCAGATATCTGGAAAATTCTACTACCCCTACGACAAATAGGAGAAGACAAAGAAAACTATGAAACTCAAAGTCGTGTGATTACAATTGATATGATTATGAACAATAAATTTTGTTCGAAACATTGTCATCCAGTAAATAATACTGTTTCTTCACTGTGTGATACATCTAACAAACAAACTAATATGGAATTACTTACTACCACAGTGGCCAAGTTTTACACATTTATTTTTTAGACATTTTATAGTAGTGAGACAACTTTGTGGATGTATGTTTCACTCTTATATTTTTGTCCCTGAGGCCACGAACAAAGTATTGTCAAATGTATTCTTGAAGCATGATTTGATGCCACAATTACTGGCAGTTGATAATATTATGTATGCGTAATATTCATGATATTTTCTGCACTATTAATGTGCTCCACATTTCAAAAGAAGTGTGAACTACGATGACCGAATTTGTCAAATACTTAAATCATGCATGTTAATCATCTAAATGCTTAATTTATGTAAGTGAATTTTATCTGTTGCATTTTTAGGAATGTCGAGTCGTAATGAGGTCTTTCAGTTAGTTGAATTCGGTGGAAGCAGATGCAGTCGCATTCGGAAAAAGACATCCGAAAAACACTGACGAGTGTTTAACGACTTATGACCAGATACATTTGCACAATCAATTATAGTAATTGATTCTACATACAACAGCAAGCGAAGGTAAGTTCGCCCATTCCCTTATAACCCTGCAGATATTCTTTTTTCCAGTTCGTGATAACGGATAAATTTGGATGTGAGTGTACAGTTCTGTTTCCTTGAATTGCAGAAGAATTTAGATGCGACGCAGTTTGGACACTGGGCAGTTTCCGTCGAATAATGGGAGATACTTCCGAAATGAATACTTTCATCTTTGACTGTGCCCAGCCTACACATGTGTAATAAACTTTTCTATCTAATATTCATGTGTTCTATTTGTTCTGCATGCGATGGGAGTACGGTATGCTAGACCGGTACTCCCTAGGATATGAACTCGTTACTATACGTAAATGTAATTCTGTACGAACACTATCGATCGATATAAGCGGTGAATTATAAGTACTTTAGTCAAGCATCAACGTCTGCCTAAAATAACGCGATTACGTCTTCCAGTCATAGTTAAATCTGTTGGGACCAATTACAAAATAACCTAACCTCTGTATTTGATTGAAAAATAAGAATGGAGCTTGGGCACTGCAATTGACTTCGATTTCGTATAAGGTTAAGTGTATTCAAAAGTAGTGCATTGCTACTATTTCACTTAAAGCGTGATGTCAATCCATATGATTACGGGTGTTAACGTATAGTGTAAAATGAAGTGTACACGAGATGAATAATTGAATAGTTTGAGCTGTAGCAATCGTAGTAAGATTTCGCTGAAGTTGAATTATGCCAACAATTACTTTCTCAGGTCTCATTGATAAGTCAGCCCTCCAT